GGTGTGGGGCTCCCATGAACCGAGCCACAAAAGAAGAGCCAGAAGGCTGTGCGGCCGGCACCTACTGAAAGGAATAGTCAAACTCTGTGGGGATGCTGACTGGAACCACTTCGACCAGAACAGCCTCGTGAAAAACCAGCTGGACCTCCAGGCCATGAGGAAGCTTCAAAGCTTCATCCGGGAGCTGCCGGAAAACTCCCGGATCCAGGGGAGAGGCACGAACGGAGGTAAACGCCTAAACCACGGACGCGCGTGTTTTATCGCCTCTCTTTCTTATCCCCGAATCTGCTCGGCCAGATAGTGCGCTTCCTCCAGAAATGGAATCTTGATCATGTTCCCCGGTCAAACCTACCGACATGTAAACTCAGTTGATCCTGCTCTTGTAAAGGAAGAGGCGCCTCCCGGGAGCCTTCCACTTGCACGTTAATTTAGTGATTCCCACACTTTCAAGTGCATGAGTCACCTGGTGAATACCAGTCGTACACAGATTCTGATTCAGGAGGCCTGGGGGGACCCGAGAGTCCCCATTTTCACCAGCGCCCGGGCTGCTGCTGCTGCTGGTTGGATGACGCTTTTAGAGTAACAAGGGTCTAGCGCCCTCCTCCATCTATTCCTTATTCTTTATTCTTTTCCCCCACAAGTGCCATGAGGACCTTCGCTTTCTACTTGATGTTGGGTGGGTATTTCTCTCACGTCCGATACTGCGCCTTGACTGCCTATACTACAGTCAACATTTTACTTTCAGGCGTCCGAGCTCGAGTTGGTTATTTTAAAAGAGCTCGGAATCCCTTTTCTTGGCAAAGCCTGCTGTGGAGACTTATTTTCTTAATTAAGAAAATAAATTCAACTTTAAAACCCAGAGCCGATTAATGACCCCTTTGTTTCAGGTATTATTCACACTTCCCTGGAGGACGGTGTCGTTAATTCAATGAGGAGAGGGCTGCAATGAAACAAGATTTGTGGGAAATAAAAATATACCTGACAATATTTCCGAATTGTCATACCCATTCAGCATGTTACTGTGGGAACTAGGTAAAGCACATTTTGCTGAAGTGGAAATAATATGTGGCAATGAAGCCATAGTTTTAAACTATATGGAAGAAGGAAAAATGGGTTTAGGTTATCAATATGAATTTGCATTAAAATTTTAAAAAGTTTTAATCTATAAGGAAAGATAACATTTCATCAGACCTGTTAATTTCCAGTGAGTAAATTAGAAGTTGTAGAGAGATACAGGTATGTGTTTCCAATATAAAATTTCAATATAGAATATGTAATTATGCCATTTCTTTTACATATGAATGTAGCTGAAATGTTGATTAACTTTTATTTAGCTTGTACCAGCAGGAAACATTTCTGTGTTAGATCAAGTCAATTATCAACAATTTTTTAAAATTTTGTTAATTTTTTTTTTTTTTCTTTTTGAACATTTTTTTTAAAAATATATCTTTATTGATTTCAGAGAGAGGAAAGGAGAGGGAGAGAGAGATAGAAACATAAATGATGAGAGAGTCATTGATCGGCTGCCTAGCCCGCAACCTGGGCATGTGCCCTGACTGGGAATCGAACCCCAGTCGCCTGGATCCTAGGTCAATGCTCAACCACTGAGCCATGCCCAGCCGGGCTGTTAATTTTTAAATCATAGTTGATATACAATTTTATATTAGTTTCCTCTGTACAACCCCATGATTTCACATTTATGTAACTTATGAAGTGATCACCTCCATAAATCTAGTACCCATCTGACACCATATATAGTTATTACAACGTTAGACTGTATTCCCTATGCTGTACTTTACATCCCCATGACTGACATGTTCTGTAACTACCAATTTGTACCTGTAAGTACCAATTTGTACTTCTAAATCCCTTCCCCTTTTTCACTTATACCCCCAACCACTCTCGCATCTGGCAACCATTCAAATGTTCTCTGTATCTATGAGTGTGTTTCTGTTCTGCTTGCTTATTTTGTTTTTTAGATTCCACATATAAGTGAAATCATCTAGCATTTTAATTTTCTGGTGGTCTATCTATGTACCTCTGACAATGGAAAATATAGTTTGGTACACTGATATTCAAAAATGCTTTTTTTTTTTTTTTTCCTTTAAAGCTACTCATATATAACTTGAATCTGAAATTCTGTAGTTTTTGTTAGTGGACCCTGAACATAAGGGCCATGTCTCTAAGACCTACCCCAAAATGTGGCTTCATGAAGCTGACATATTTCTAAATCCTGCCTGAGTGTCAGGTGAAACCACTGCTGTTTCACCACCAGCTTTTCATAATCCGTGACACCTGTTCAGTTAGATTGAGCATATTCCCCTATTCTTGATCTTTATTAATCTATTCTTCATTTGTTTTTTGTGAGATATCATTATCAAAAGTGGGCCATGCTGGCCCCCTCTCTATGTATTAATTCAACAAAATTTGAGTGTCTATTATGTGCTAGGTATTTTTCTTGGTAATAGGAATATAAAGGTAAATGAACAGTTTCACTCAGGAGCCAGGAAGGGCTCCTGTCTCATGAAGCTAGGAGAATAGTGAAGATAGATAATAAACATAAGTAAATTATACAGTATGTACACATACATACAACATGGAGGAACTTTGAAAACATTACACTAAGTGAAAGAAACCTGACACAAAAGGCCATATATGGTATGATTTCATTTTCATAATAGGAAAAATCCATAGAAATAGAAAGTAGATTAGTGGTTTCCAGGGACTGAAGGATGAGGGAAATGGAATAGACCACTGATGGGTATGGAATTTCTTTTGGGCGTGATAGAAATGTTCTGCAATTATATAGTGATTATGGTTGCACAACCTTATGAATATACTAAAAAAAAAATCACTGAATTGGCGCGGCTGACATGGCTTAGTGGTTGAGCATTGATTTATGATCCAGGAGATCTTGGTTTGATTCCTGGTCAGGGCACATGCCCGGGTTGCGGGCTCAATCCCAAGAAAGGGGTATGCGGGAGGCAGCCAATCAATGATTCTCTCATCACTGATGTTTCTGTCTCTCTCTCTCCCTCTCCTGTCCTCTCTCCGAAATCAATGAAGACATATTTTTTTAAAATATCACTGAATTGTATACTTTAAAATGCTGAATTTTATGGCATGTGAATATCTCAGTATGCTTTTTGCATAAAAATGTGCAAAGGTTTCTAAGCCTTTTTATAGGAAAACACTGCCTACAAGTATTTTAGTTAAAAATATATATTACTTTTGAGTAAACATTTTATTATTTAAAATGTGATTATTTGTTTTTTAATAATCAACTGATTTTAGTATTCCAGTATTATGATTAAATTTTCAGCTAGAGGAAGATTTTAATAAAGGAGACTTTTTCTCTTCTCTCAACAGAAGCTTTTCTCTTCTCTACTACTGCCTCCCAGGAAGCAGCAACAAACAATCTGGAGATGCAGTCACCTCCTGAGTATCAGTATAATAAGGACAACTTGCTACCTAATACGACAAGTGAACTTGCCTCATCACAAGATATCAGTTCATATGTTCAAGAGATTATAGAATTTCAGAACCAAAATACAAATAAAGTTAAAACCTTAAGGAAATTGTTTTGGGGGAATCATCCCCAAAGAATACGGAGAGGATACTCAGAAAAGTGTTGTCGTAAAGGATGTACAGAAGAAGAACTTATAATTGCATGCCTTCCATATATTCATTTTTAAAACTTAAAGCAAGAGGAGCACCAATTGTGACTGAGATGTACTAACCATCATAGGAATTATACTAACGTAATAAAAGCTTAATATGTTTATTTTACTTTTTACTTATTTACTTATATTTGGTAATTGTTCTTGTAGGTTCTCTGCTGTGAACACCTGAATGTACTTGAAAGCACTTGACAATACTTTATGGTGATAATAGGAATCTTAAGTATTTTCTTTGTTGACCCCTATTTTTCATAATTTTTATATTTGAAGTTGTTACTGGAGATGGCATGATCCATGCAGACATCTAAGAATTACCTGTTCATCCTTGTCTTTATGGCTGAAACTCTCTTAAACTGTATTTAAATGGATTATGGAGCGTTCTGCATTCCATCTGTATGACGTACAGATTGAGGCCCATGACTATTAGGCTCACTCCAGTATGCCAATACATCTGTGCCACTAACTTAAAGATAACTAACCAACTATCACTCCTATAATAGTAGGAACACTTTTTATTCCTTGAGCTTTATTATAGTAACTGATCAGAAATCTTTTTAGTTTCTATTCTGGAATTAAAAAGAATTAATCTCTTTCGGTTATAAAATCTCCCCAAGATACTCTGTCTTTGCTTGGAAGGTACTGATGTAATTAATGTGACGATCTATTCTCACTTGGTTTCTGTTTTCTTGAGTGGACTTGAATGATAAAGCCCCTGACAGTGATCCAGAAAGCAGTTTTGAATTGGTTTAGGGCAAGGATGATAAATGAGTTTCATCTTAAATAGAAACTCCAAATGATTAGTAGTGGCTCGCTTGTTTGCAGCCCACATCTCTTCACATGCATTTTAAGACCTCTTCAGTATAGTTCAATTCTCCCTCCTGTCTTTTCTGCTATTTGTGCTATATCTCCTATTTCCACATCTGTTATAAACTACACAATATATTTCTATTATTTTGTTTTAAATAATTATATTTTTTATTTATACACTTTTAATGAGAGTATTGCCATTGCATACATTTTCTTTATCTGACTTTCACATTAAGTCAATGTTATGTAGCCATCAAAAATCTATAGTCCAATTTAAACTAGCTTCTTAAAATTAGCCACTTCTGATTGCTTTCCTGAAGTCTTTCTATGCTACAAACTTGTAATCAGCATGAATTGTAAATATACCTTCTACAGTGCAAACATTTCTCAGGTCTGCTCCATTAAAGCTATCTGGAAATGTCATAATTGCTTCTAATAATCTATTTTATTATGCTTTGTAATGGTATCTCCATGGATTTTTGATATATCTAATCTTGCATATAAACAAATATGTATTTTTTCTATTTACCTGGAGACAGCAAAGCAGAATCCACAGTACTTGTTTGTAGCTATAATTTTAACTCTATGCACAGCATTATATAATCCATTTGATTTAGTAACTCCATTAAAGTCCTCTGAATCTATCAGCTGAAATACTTCCAGAAAAACATCATCATCAATGGCATCTATTTATCCATAAAAAATGATGCATGGCTGATGATCCCTTTATAATTAAACTTCTCTAATCATGAATCAGTTTCACCAGTGCGCTTGTCTACAATAGAACTAGATACAACATTTAAGAAATTGCAGTCCAATCGGCTAACAATAGCTCTTGTTATTAGTGTTTTTTCCTTAACTGGTGATTCATGTAATAACCTTTTAGAAGTATTCCTACACTGGAATAATTCTGAATTTGTCAGAGGTAGTTCTATTTACCTCTCTTAATTCTCTGATCTATTCTGATACCCCCTTAATCTCAGAAAAAAAGAAATATTCCCTATGTCTTTATGAGACATGCTGTAAAACAGTGGATCTTAGCAAATATCATTGTAATAATATCGAAAGCAATTCTTGTTCCTGGCTTCAGCTTACTTTTTCAAGCTGACAGTGACAACCCACAGCATACATAGATAGGTTCATTTGTAGATTTAACAATGAATTTTTCTTCTGTTAATTCCTTAAGTACTTCACCCACAGTCTGCTCAGATTTGGTGATTGTGGGGCTGGCCTTCAGGTCATTTTCAGATTTTGCATACTGATTGTTCCCTTAGCTGTTTAAGACAGCTGTTGAGCCTGTGCTCCAGCATCTTGTTTTGTGATAGTCTTGAAACTCATTATCTCTATGGTTCTCAGTGATGAGAGGCTAGCACTCATAGGGGATGCCAAGAATCGCCATGGCATATATGACACACCCACAGCTAACATTATACTCAATGGGGAAAAACTAGAAGCATTTCCCTTAAGATCAGGAACAAGACAGGTATGTCCACTACCACCACTCTTATTTAACATAGTACTGGAAATCGTAGGCACAGTAGACAAGACAATGAAATAAAAGGCATCCAAACTGGAAAGGAAGAAATAAAACTCTCATTTTTTGCAGATGACATGATACTGCATATAAAGAACCCTAAAGACCCCATCAAAAAACTACTAGAACTGATAAATGAATTCAGTAAAGTAGCAGGATACAAAATTAATATTCAGAAACCAGTTGGATTTTTATATACCAGTAATGAACTATTAGGGAAACTTTAAAAATCCCATTTACAATTGCATCAAAAATACGTATAAATGTATTCCCAATAGAAACAAGATGGCAGCGTAGGGAACAGCTGTACCCGCCGCCTCCCGCAACCACATCAAAATTACAACTAAAATACAGAACCACCAGCACTCAGAGCCTCCTGAAACCTGGCTGCACAGAAGCCCCACAACCAGGGAGCTGAAGAAGCACTGAGACCGGTAGGAGGGGTGGAGACTCAGGCGGATCGGGGCTGAATTGGAGAAGCACCCCAGGCCTACACCCGGTGCTGTGGTTTAAACCCAGGAGGGAACCTCGGTGGGGGAGGTTTCCCGGAGGAGTGAGGGGTCCCAGCCCCACAGCAGGCCCCCCGCCCAGGGCTCCAGGGCCTAGAAGAGACGACCCCACACTTTAAGCTGTGAAACCAGCGGGGACTGTGGCTGAGGGATGCGGCAGCTGGGGGAGCCCCAGGCAGCTCCTCTTAAAAGGCCCGCGCACGACTCACTCAGACGGGCTCCCTCTGAGCCCCAGCACCAGGCAGCAGCTTGAAAGGAACCTGGGACATTTGGGAGGAACTAACCTGCCTGAAATTGGTGCAGGAGCTGGAGGGGCAGCTTCCTTCCAGACAGAAGCGCTGGCAGAGGCCGTTGCTCCTTTGGCAAGCCCTCCCCGCACAGAGCCTGCAGGCAGGCACCATATTTGAATCTCTAGCACCTGACTCACACCTTTGGCCCCACCCCATGATTCCTGGAGGCCCCGCCCCTCCCCACCTGCAGGTTCATCCAGGCCATTTCCAGGGGCTTTTCTGTGCAAGTGGCCTCTCGAGCCTCATGCTTAGGACTTTCCTAAAATCTCTCAAACAAGCAGCAACTGGCCTCAGCGTTCTCCATATCTATCAATAAGTGGCTCCAGGCCTGGCACTAGCGGCAGCTGCATTGGCTCATAACTTGGCCTCTCCTGGACACCTCCAAGCCCAGCACAAGTAGCAGCCAGCTACGGTTTGCTGTGTTGCTCATGCTGGGTGGCGCTGGGCAAGGCACTGGCAGAGGCTGACTTTGCACCTCCCAGGAGGCCCCAGAGACAGTGCACCTGGTAGTCAGACTCCCAGTGACACCTACCACACCCACCAGTGACACACTCAAGGGGCGCACTTGGTGAACATCAAAGCCCCACTGAAGTAAATCCTGATCCACAGGGGTATCTCCAGCACAGCAGCTCTTTCGCTGTAGTTGCAGCTGGTCCTCACAGCCAATTGGCTGGGGGGGATTTCTCCCAGAGACTCCAACAGCAACCAAGGCTCAACTACAACAGGGCAGTGAGCACAGCCCACATAGGGGAGCGCCTAGAAGGCCCAGCTCAGGTGACTAGGGAGGCTGAGCCACTGGGTGCTACAGGACACCTACTACACAAAGCCACTCTACAAAGTCCAGGAGACATAGCAGCTCTACCTAATACATAGAAACAAACACCTGGAAGCAGCCAAAATGTGGAGGCAAAGAAACATGTCACAAAGGAAAGAACAGAAAAAATGTCTAGAAGAGGAGCTAAATGAAATTTATCCAAGCAAGCTAACAGATACAGAGTTCAGAATTTTGTTTATAAGGATGTTTAAGCAGACTATTAAGGAAATAACTGAGAAAATCGATAACATAATAAAGTACCAATTTGAAATGAAAGCTACAGGAACTGAAATGAAGAATAATTTACAGGGAANGCTTAGGACTTTCCTAAAATCTCTCAAACAAGCAGCAACTGGCCTCAGCGTTCTCCATATCTATCAATAAGTGGCTCCAGGCCTGGCACTAGCGGCAGCTGCATTGGCTCATAACTTGGCCTCTCCTGNAAACCCAACCAGAAGAGCAAAAAGAAAAAAGAATCCAGAAATATGAAGATAGCATAAGGAGCCTCTGGGACAACTTCGAGAGGCCCAACATTCATATTACTGGGGTGCCTGAAGGGGAAAAAAGAGAGCAAGAAATTGAAAACCTATTTGAAAAGATAATTACAGAAAACTTCCCCTACCTGGGGAAAAAAATAGACTTACAAGTCCAGGAAGCACAGAGGGTCCCAAACAAGAGGAATCCAAAGAGGCCCACAGCAAGACACATCGTAATTAAAATGCCAAAGGTTAAAGACAAAGAAAATCTTAAAAGCAGCAAGAGAAAAGCAATTAGTTACCTACAAGGGAGCACCCATACAACTGTCAGCTGATTTCTCAACAGAAACCTTGTAGGGCAGAAGGGAGTAGCAAGAAATATTCAAAGTGATGAAAAACATGGAACTACAACCAAGATTGCTGTACCCAGCAAAGCTATCATTTAGAATTGAAGGTCAGATAAAGAGCTTCACAGATAAGAAAAACCTAAAGGAGTTCATCACCACCAGACCAGCAGTACAGGAAAAGTTGAAGGGTCTTCTTTAAGAAGAAGCTAATGAACAAAAGAATCTGACAAACGAAATAGATCCAGAGACATTGATGCATGTAACAGAG